TATTTTAGACTTGCATTATGTTGTTGCCTTTTTATTTAAATTTTATTTTTTTTTACATCCATTGCAGTCGCATGTCTTATATCAATGTGAACGAAGTACTGATTTTAATAAACTATATGTAGGATGGGGGACAAATGTAATAATCCTTACATAGCTTACCAGTAATCTCTCATTTTGTCAGGCTATTCTCTTTCTGCCTCAAATTTCCTTCCTACTTATTGTTTTATCAAGGATAGCAAATATATTGAGATGAACTGTGACCATGGAGACAGTTTTTTTCTGTCTAATTATGTGGGTTTTGAGAAACTTGAGTACATTTCTAAATGCAACAAAAGCAACATGTTGAATGAATGCTAAGCACTACAGAAAAGATTGAATCATAAATATTTGACAACAAAGGTTCATGAAAATTGCAAGCTCCACTTTAAGGTTTTTTTTATTTCAGTAGAGCAGACAAGAACACACAGTACAGAATCCTATACTGTACAATTTTATTTTATTGTGATATTTTAAAACAAATGTCAATTTTTTCAAAATCCATATTACATGTATTGACAAGTATTTTTGTGTTTTATCAGAGGTGTTTAGGGAAGAATAAGATTTACTGTCTAGGTGTCAACGTTGCTTGAGGACCTAGATGTGGAGATGAGTGAGGCAGAGCCAGGTTCTAGTAGGTTTAATTAAGGATACTGAAGCAAACATCCAAAAATACTTAGAAGCGAAAACCAGCAAGCGTCAGGGAAAACTCACGTGGGCAGCCACAGATGAGGAAGCAACAAAATAACAAGGAACCAGCAAACAGTGACTGAACATGAGGAGTTTAAATGGGAGACTGAACAAAGACCAGGATAATCAGTAGATATGGGGCAGGTGTGGATGGAAGAGACTAGAAAGGAGACAGGCACAAGGGGGCAACAGAGAGTAACTTAACACAGGCTTAAATATAACATAAAACCGAAAATAAACCTAAAATAAACAAAACAGAATTACTTAGATGATGAAAAATAAAAGTCCCACTAGGGGAGAACCATGATACTAGCTTTGATTACAAGGCATGATGTTTGATATAAAAGTTTAAGTTTCAGATAGATTGTACTCTGATTCTACCCTCTTGATTATATTGTTTCTTCCTAAAGAAAGAAATATTTAACCTTGCACCATTTTTTACCCACATGCCCATTACATTATCTTGGCCTGTCAACTACGTACACTCACTGGCCACTTTATTACATACACCTTGCCAGTACTTGCTTGGACCCCATTTTGTCTTCAGAACTGCCTTGATCCTTTGTGGCATAAATTCAAAAAGGTACTTAAAACTCTCCTAAGAGATTTTAGTCCATATTGACATAGCGTTGCTGATGATTTGCTGGCTGTACATCCATGATGCGTATCTCCCATTCCACCACATCCCAAAGGTGACTGTGAAGGCCATTTGAGTTCAGTGAACTCATTGCCATGTTCAAGAAACCAGTCTTAGATGATTCATGCTTTATGACATGGCACTTTATCTTGCTAGAAGTAGGTAGCCATCAGAAGATGGGTACACTGTAGTCATAAAGGAATGGATATGATCAGCAATACTTATCAGCTAGGCTGTGGTTTTGACACAATGTTCAGTTTGTACTAAGGGGGCGTGTGGCAAGACAATTACCCCAACACCAGTACACCATCACCACCAGCATAAATCATTGATACAACGCAGGATAGATTTATATTGTTTATGCCAAATTCTGAGCCTGCCATCTAAGATTGGAAAAGTCTTTCCTGTTCTGGTGAATGTCAGCTCTAACATTTAGACTTAGACTTAAAAGATGACAATAAAGTCTGTCTAAGTCAAAACGTCACAGCTGAAATTGAGACTCATCAGACCAGGCAACACTTTTCCAATCTTCTATTGTCCAATTTTGGTGAGCCCGTCTGAATTGTAGCCTCAGTTTCCTGTTCTTAGCTGATAGGAGTGACATCAGGTGTGGTCTTCTGCTGCTGTGGCCCTTCAACCTCAAGATTTGCCTTGTTGTGTATCCAGAGATATTCTCCTGCATACCTCGGTTGTAGCGAGAGTTTTTTTTTTTTTTTTAAGTTTCTGTAGCCCTTACATCAGCCCGATCCAGTCTGGCAATCTTCCTCTGACCTCTGGCATCAACAAGGCATTTGAGTCCACAGAACTTCCACCAGCTGGCTATCTTATCTTTCTCGGACCATTCTTTGTAAACCCTAGAGTTGGCTGGGGGTAAAAATCCCAGTAGATCAGCAGTTTCTGAGATACTTAGAATAGTCATCTGGCAACAAAAAATCATACCATGTTCAAATTCACTTAAATCACCTTTCATCCCCATCCTCCCTTGACCAGGTCTACATGCCTAAATGAATTGAGTTGGTGCCCTAAGATTGGCTGATTAAATTTGTTGGACAGGTAGGGGCCTGCTATTTGTGAACAGAGATACTGGAGGCAACGACTATAATGGAGTCTTACCTCTCTCAGGGCAAGATGAAACTGCCTTCCACAGGGCAGCTATGGCTACAGCTTACAACTCTTCATATTCATGTGAAAAGGAGAATGACTGATTTTAGTGTAAAGTGCTTTGGAGTCCTTGATTTGACAAAGCACCATATAAGTAATGGCCATTTACCATTAATGATACTTTGGTCAAGCTTCTCCTTAACTCACTGGAGATGTCTATTATGCAAGAACAACCTTCTAGAATGTATAGTGCTCCAGTTGAGCAATCACTGCTGGGTAGGTTTACACAGTTTTCCCCATTTGGAGATAATGGCGCACATCGTGGTGTACTGGAGTCCTAGATGCTTGGCGATGTCATTTGAACCCCTTCTAATGGTAATAGATGACAATGATTTTGTTTCTCATGGATCTTCACATTTATTAAAGCCCTTTTAAGCTCCATGTAGTCAGACAGGTTTTGTTCAAGAAATTATTTGATGATACTGGTTGTACAGATATGCTCATGAGTGTAGAAAGCTGCGTTCAGTCAGGCAGGTAGATGAAATACATATAAAATATACAATAATTTTGACAAAGCTAATGATTCTTCTTTTTACATTTTATTTAAATGTTTGAGTAAATGCTTTACAAACCACAAACTCTCAAGCATCTGCAATCAGTGTAGAATAACTTCCATATTTCACCAGGCTACATATTGAACTTTTGGAGCTTACCTACATTCTTCAGTAGAATGTTAAACACTATCACAGAGTCTTCAGACAAAGGCTTCTCCAGATCTGCTTCAAGACAGATTGCTAAAGGACATCCAGCATTTTTATTTTCCTTTTTAGATCAATTAACTATTTTTCAATTTAATCAAATTTAAAATTTTGCATAGTACCAAGAAATACCTTTGTGCTTTGATAAATAGAATTCCATTCAATTTGAACACATTTTATTGATTTAGAATCTATTGATTTAATAGATACTAAATGTTGTATTAACCCGCGTTTTTTTTGTCAATGAGTTTGCAGAAAGGATCTTCTGTTGTTGTCTGTCCTGCACCGCAGCTGGTGAAGCCCTTGACCAAAGACAGTCTGTTGGTGATTAACAATCTTCTGAAAAAGATGCTCACTGTTGTCCACAATACTCTTCATTTTATGAAAAATTCTTCTTTGTGAAATAATCTCCAGAAGTTTTGAAGAGTCCCTAGAACAGAGCTAGCATTCTTTATCAGTCTGTTGAGCTTTTTAGGTAATTTGCTCTGAAGCTGCTACCCCAACAGATGATAGCTTAAGATAAAAGTTTTTCCACAACAGACTTATAAAAGATATGCAGCATCTTGCTGCAAATACCCAAGGAAACCTAAGTTTCCTAAATAAGTATAGTCTGCTCTGTCCCTTCTTTTAGACAACTTCACAGTTGTATCTCCAGTGAAGTTTGTTGTCCAGGTGAATACCAAGGTATTGATACTCCTCCATTACATCCACTTCTCCCATGATGCTAATGGGATTTAATTTGTTACTGTTTCTTCTGAAATCTACAATCCTCTTCCTTGTTTTGTTTGCTTTTAGATTCAGATGAATATTTCTACATTTTTCCACAAAGCAGTTCAAAATCTCCTTGTACTCAGCTTCTTGTTCATCTGTGATGCACCCAATGATTGCAGAGTCATCTGAGTATTTCTGCATATGACAGGACTCTGTCTGGTGCTGGAAGTCAGAGGTGTATAGAAGTAAAAAGGAATGGTGAGAGCACTGTCCCCTGTGGTGCTCATGACTACTTGATTAGACAGTTGATGCTGCTGTTTAACAAATTGTGGTCTGTTTGTCAGGTGGTCTGTGATCCATGCAATTGTTGATGCCTCCACATGAGTCTTCTGGAGGTTCTGACAAAATAAACCACGATGAATCATGTTACATGTTCTAGAGAAATCAAATAACCTTATCCTCGCAGTGCTGTCTTCCTTGTCTGAAAAACAGTGGGTTTGTTGAAGCAGGTGTGTGAAGACATCTTCAACTTCAACTCCAAGGCGAAAAGCAAACTGCAGAGGGTCCTGATAGCTGCTTGTTTATTTGCTGAGGTGAACAACTGAAGTCTCTCTCATATTTGGGATGTCAGGCCAACAGACATATAGTCAGTGGGGATTGTTGGCTAAGTTTTGTTTGGTAGCAGAACAAGGTAGGAGGTCTTCGACATCAATGACACCTTTCTTGGGTAAGACTATGGTTGAAGATGTGCAGAAGAATCCCGCAAAGCTGCTCTGTACAGACATTCAGGACTCTGGGACTGACAACATCTGGACGTGATGACTTACTGCGATTCATTCTCTCCAGTTGCCATATTCACATGATTTCTAAAGACAGACAGGTGAAAGGCAGAGGGAGCAGCACTATGTTCTGATTTGGTTGAGGAAAAACACATAGAGACAAGAGGGTCCATGGTAGAGGTGAAAAATAAAACACTGAAGTGTGAGAGGGGAGCTCTGGGTCAGAGGGGGGTTGTGTGTCTGTTTGACAGTGGATAGGAGAGAAGGATGCTGAGCTTGTTCCGGAACTGAATTATAAATGTGTATATTTAATAACTATAGACAGTCAAATGCAATACATTCTCATTGAAAACAAATAGGTAGAACCTAACACACTACCAAATTATAATGATCAGATGCCAGCTTTGGCAAAACTCAAAACTGCACCACTATTTATCTAGTTTCAACACCTAAGGAAGACTCCCACACCTACGGATTAAACATGCATATATGCCATAGAAAACAAGGTCAGGGTGCAAATTACACATTTTGTATTTATTTATAAGCCTCAGGTTAACCCCCAGGCTGTGTGCCACCCTGGGTACAAAGCCACATCACCCATATCAAAACCACCACTACTCATACATATCAACATGCATGCCAAACATGTCAAAGATCAAACATAATTTCATAATTATGAGGTAATAAAACTTTTAGTGTGCCTTCCTTACAGACAGGCATCTAGTTAAACCAAAAAATAAAGAAAACCAAACACTTGAAAGAAATAAGTTTAGCATAATAATCTATTTAAAAAATTAGCACTGCTTTTATATGTACTTTATATATCTATCATTTGCAAAACGGACATGAGCAAACGTGAAAGTCATCATTGTCAGGTAAAATAAACAGAGAACAAATGAGGTGTCAGACTGTAATCACCTCAATGAAAGTCTCTAGGATTCTTGCTGTGTCCCTTCAATTCGACTCATTCATTTACCAATGTTTCCTTCCCTTTCGTTACTTGTCTTCTTGTGCCTTTATTCACTTCCCACCTTCTTTAGATGCTCTGGTTCCACCCTGACCAGCTGAGGGTCCTCTTTCATCTCTACCAGATCCTGCATATCTGGACCATCTACATTCACCAGCTCTCCTTCCTCCACCTCCACACCCAGCCCATTCTCCTCTCCTTGCTGTTCCTCTCCATCGGTCACCTCCACAATCTCTGTGTTTTGCACTACCTCCTCCTCCCCCTCGCGGACCTTCTTAACATGAAAGGTAAAGGGGGGAACCCGATACACGGTATTCTTGGAGCGAGCATAGACTGTGTGATCAGGGGTGAGGGATTTCTTGAACTTATCTTTGGAGCTTTTTATCTTTGCCCTCCGCTCCTGTTTGGGGGTCATGCGGGATCCAATTTTATTGATCTTTTTCTCAAGGTTGTGCTTCGTCTTCTCCAGATTGTCACGCGTTTTCTGCCTGGTCTTCTCCAGGTTCTCACGGGTCCTCTGCTTAGTCTTTTCCAGGTTCTCCTTGGTCTTTATTTTGGTCTTCTCCATTTGCTCTTTGGAGAAGGCCTTTTTAATGTTGTCCACTTGCTGCTTGGTGCTGCGTTGGAGACGCTTTGTACGAGACTCTTCAATAATCTCCTCAACTTCAATTTCTTCATCTGAATTTAGACTTGCTTTCACTCCATCTTGTCCTTCCTCGGGTATTTGCTCCAGGCCCTCCACTGATTGGCCTTCAACTGTCTCTGCTGTCCTGGTTTTGGATTCTTTTGGTGTCTTCACTTGGTCCTGAAGAAGGGATAAGAGAAAAATAAACCATTATAATGCTGAAACAGAGTATGAATTAAGCCACATTTGAATTTGTTAACTACTCTTTGATGATGATTATTGTATGGTTTGATGAGTCAAACAGTGTAATCCTATTTATTCTGAAATTAAAAGCATCTGGTTAAGAAACCTTATTGAAATTGACAAATCAAAATATGACATGACATCTGCCAAGTGATATACTGTCTTTATGTGCAATGTATAGCTGCAGCTGGTGCAGAATGCCCTCTAGTGGTGTAAAATGATAATCTTTAATACCCTTGGCAAAAACAACAGAAATAAATAAATAAATAAGCCAAATAGCACTTGGCTCATTTGTATTTTGAGACAGTTATCTTATATTACTTAGCTTCATCTTTCTAGGTTGTATGTCCTCTGCTACTGTTCTACTGAAACCAAAGCTATCATATCCTTGCATCTAACCACATAACTTCCTGTGATTTTCTATCATTTTTGTTTTCAAACATAAACTGTGTCTTTGCAAATGCATATTATAGGAGAAGTAAATAAAAAGACATTTCAGATTACACTGTGATATATATTTTTTTGACCAACCAGAAAAAAAATGTACGCAAAATGTAAAATTTCACAGTTGAAAAGGTCACTTTTATCCCATCATTTCATCTGTTGTTTAGTGCTGTTTCACTTCATCATAAAACCCACAGCACCAAAGCACAGCAGATTCACACTTGATAAAATAAGTCTTTACAAAAAAAAAAAAATCAAAGAAAAAGCACAGTGACTGCTTCGTTTTCAGTGGTACAGAAAGAAAGTAAGCAGTTAGTAAAGAAAGATGAATAGATTCATAAACTCCCACCTCCTTTTCCATTTTAGCACAGAGAAAGAGAAAAATGAAGAGTGTTCTTTTATTCAGTTAAATAGTATGCTTGAAGACACCAGGTGAGAGTTTCTATCTATCTATCTATCTATCTATCTATCTATCTATCTATCTATCTATCTATCTATCTATCTATCTATCTATCTATCTATCTATCTATCTATCTATCTATCTATCTATCTATCTATCTATCTATCTGTCTGTCTGTCTGTCTGTCTGTCTGTCTGTCTGTCTGTCTGTCTGTCTGTCTGTCTGTCTGTCTGTCTGTCTGTCTGTCTGTCTGTCTGATGCATATATTCCTTTAAATATAGATATGTCTCCTTTAACATGCTGCTGAAATTGGACAACTATTTTTGCCGACCACTGGCACAATTAAACAGAAGTTTAGTAAAGGCTCTATTAAAAATTCTAAAAAAAAAATCCACACAATTTAGTGCATCAATAATACATTTTAGTTATTAGTTATTCTCAACATGTACATGTCGGCACCTCTTGACAGACTGACAGCGGAGGCCCCTTACATAATTGAAATGGCTTGCAACTCAATATTTTGTATCTAGCAGGAATAAATTATGAAAGATGTACAGCAGAGCACAAAAGAAGACAAGTGACAAATATAATAGTAGGACAATCAACAAGTCATAAGTTAAGCAGTTTCTATTGATAGAGAAAGATTCATATGTCTCATATCTGGCTTTAAAAAGACAAGCACCCATGAGAATTTTCGGCACAGTAAATACCCGCACGCCACCGGAAAACATACGTTGCCTCCTTATCTGGTAGTGTATATGGTGGACTCAAGCGACCTGCTGTGTTTGCGTTTATTTTCAGCTGGCCTTTCCTACTTTCTGGATTCCATCTACCCTGCTCTGGCCGCCAGCCACTGCATACCTCGGCCCTACAGACGGGACTCTGTCTCCCCCCCCACCAGACCTGCTGAACCATACCATCCCCTGCAGAACAGCAACAGATAAACACCATGCTGTTACCATAGTAACCACCTCCCAATGTGTCCCATGCTGGTTGATGAGAGTTAAGCTGCATAGATAGCAGGAAAATCAGACAGACGGATGGATGGACAAACAGATAGAAAGAAAGAAAGAAAGAAAGAAAGAAAGAAAGAAAGAAAGAAAGAAAGAAAGAAAGAAAGAAAGAAAGAAAGAAAGAAAGAAAGAAAGAAAGAAAGAAAGAAAGAAAGAAAGAAAGAGTCCATTAAAACAACAGATTTGCTTTCAAAGCATTTTTCAGATTTCATGTTTTTATGGTTCTGTCATGAAACACGCCTCCAGTGGTTGTGAACGAAAAATATAATATTTTTGATAGATAAAAAAAATCAAGCTTGTTTGACATTCAAAGGCTCAAAAGAACATTTTTATAAACTTTCCTGTTTACAGTGTATTGAACTCTAAGGAAATTTTAATGATATCAGTGAACCTTGTTTTTGTTTCCAGGCCTGATAACAAAATACGAGTCTCGAAGTTTCTGTTTGAATATGTTAAATCCATTAGTGTTCCTGTGTTACCTTCCACTCCCCTCAGATTTACCACTTAACAGCTGTGGAAAAGTTTGCCCACTGTGTGAATGCGTTCACTCACCAGTGCCAAGAGAGTGGGAACTAAGAGTGTTCTGTTAGATGAAAAAAAGCTCTTTTATTATTGCCTCCTTCAAACAGGAGTACCATGGAAATTTAATTATAACCAGCCAGCTTTTTCTAAAGGGTGCAAAGTGTTAAGCCAACTCTTTAGAGTAAAAACATAGGCTTAAAAACAAAATGTAATAAATAAGTGATTAAAAACCTGTCAGAATTTAATTCATACATGTTATAGCAAAACTAACATAATTCTGTTTTGTAGTTATTTTTTAATTTTGTAAATATCTAACAGTAGCTCTTACAAACAACAGTGGAAATTTGCTTTGAAAACATTTCATCTTTATATGCAAAAGCTCATAATTAAAATAAAGGGGTAATAATATTCAGTTGCAATAGGCGCAAAGGAAATGGTAACAGAAACACTAGATCAACCTAAAAGTGCTACATGTTTGCCTAAAAGTGCTGACTTCATACCATCTCATTTACTGAGACTTTAATCTAGACACTGTTGCTGAAGCTTACACTAATCTAAGAATTTATATAAACTAACAAACATATTTTTCAAGTAACATAAAATTCAAAGTCGGAGTGAAATGCCTGTGTTATAAAGTTAAATTGTCCTTTTACTACCTTCCAGATGTTTATTACTTTCCAATTTTGCATTATGAATAAATCAGAAAAATACCAAAGCTAAATTAAAACTGAAGGTACAAGCGTCGGAAAATGTCAGTCTCACTGTTTAGATAAGTCCCCACACTGTTAACAGATGGTCCTAATCCACCTACATCCACGCAACCATTTAACAGGCTTGTAGATAAACACACGCACACTATTCCTTTAGAGGAAGTGTGATGAAAGGCCTCTCCAGTGAGTCACAGGAGCAGCTGTCTTACCCTGTCCACTCCTCACGGCTGTGCATTTACCGTTCACAGTGACTGATGTCTTTGACCGGTGTTCTGGTCCAAAAGAGAGACTGACATGTGTTGGTGGTTTGCATGTTAAATCTGTGCATGGATCTGCATTTTAACGGCTTTGATGTCAGAAGATTGCTTGGAGGCTAAAATAAGAACAGTAATGTACTCTGTTCATTTACACTGAAGCCCTCCACACTCTCAGGAATAAACTTTAAACAATACGCAGGGGACTGGCCACCCACCTACTACTACTTTAGCCATGTTAAAGGTGAGTTATATGACTCAGTCCTGATTGCAAATTCCAGGGCCTCGAGCTCTCATATAATTAGTATGCTGGGTACTGATGGTGCTGCATTAAAGCATAGCTTATATATAGGTTCATTCAGAGTGAGAGTTTTTTTATTTACCAGACAGCAAGCATCGAACGGAGCTCTTTGGTTTCCACACCACAGCCTTTCCATAGCTTATGACTCTCTGACCCCTGGAATTGTATGATTATTCACACTTAAAGGTGTAAAAGGGACTTTTCCAATCCTATTTTTGAGTGAGCTAGCAAGAGTATGTCGAGATATTGAATAACCATTCCTCTACCTCCAACGGTGTAAACTGCATCGGCAAAATGGTGCGCTAAGAATCAGAATCTGCTCTACTGGTCAGGTTTTCATACACAGGCAAGCAATTTCACATTGGTTTCCATCACACACATTTTGAATCAATATCAGAACAAACAACAAATGTGATGTGTAAAAAAATCCTTACGGAGATAAAATAAGGAGAATAAATTGTAATAAATGTGATTCAACATTATCTGCTCTTGTTTCAGGCGCTTTCAGTAGTGGTCTCCCAGAGAGGATTTTCAAAAATACCAAAAAAGTTTTTTTTAGATTTATTTGGCGAAGTAGAAGGCCTAGGGTGAAATTTCAAACACTACAACTTTTAAAAGAAGAAGAGGTGTAATGTTACTGTACTTTACTTTACTGCAGCTCGGATCAAACCAATAAACAATAGGTGCTCATTAGGATTTATCGCTAGATGGAAAAATATAGAAATCTCACTATTGAAGCATCCTCCATTTCATTTCATTCTAGCTCATAACAATTTGGATGAACATATCAAAATAATTTCGAAATCTATGGATCATAACTCATTTAAAAATATAAGGCCAGGATGTAAAATGAAAACACAAACTAGATGATAAATTAATGCTGTGCATTTGATTCAAAATTTAGACCTAATCTTCTTATAATACATTTAAACAATGGATTTTAAATGGTGCAAGAAATTGTATTCTCTTACCCATAATGTAAACATGAAAGATATTGAAAGTTTATAGAAAGTTCACCAGTTTAAAAATTCTGATCTTTTTCAGATATCTTCATCTGCGGAGTTAATTTCAACTGAATATTATTACTAAAAACTGATTTCAGTGATTCAGTACAATACAGTTTTCTGAAGGCGCATTAAAATAACTTAAAGGTGCAACAGGTGTTTCTTATAAAGGATTTTCGACTAAAAAGTCTCAGTCCACAAATGACATTAAACGCAAATGGTAAGACGAAGGACATCTTTTAATATTCAATGATGACTTACCAGAGGTTAGTAAATCACAATGGAAATA